ACAGGTGGTGGCCCGACCGGTGGGGGCGTTCACCCCCAGCAGCACCTGCCACAGCAGGGACAGCAGCAGCAGCAGGGACAGCAGCACCAGCAAGCGCCGCAGCAATTCCAGCAGTGGGGGCCCCCGTTGCAGTGGGGTCCGCAGCAGCACTGGGGTCCCCCGCCGCAGTGGGGTCCGGGAGGCCCTAGGAGCACCAGCCGCAGCAGCAGTACTTCCAGCTGGGCCCCTCGTCCCCCTCGCCGTGACGTTGGCCCGTGCACCCACTGGTGCGTCACCGAGCCGGGTAGCCCCTGTCTCTGTGGTCACGACGACCACTCTGCCGCGCGGTGCTTCCGCCGCCTCGACGACCTCTACCGGGCTCGTTGGGGCCCTCTGGCGGTCACGCCTCGCTGGTCTCGTCTGTTAGCCCGTAAGATTGATGTACTTGCTTTGTCCATGGACGATGCGCGTCAGCATGCTTTGTATGTTGATGCTGACTTTAGTGCTGATGGATCTGGGTGCTCGCGTGTTCGTAGGTTAGCCTGGTCTTGCTTTGGGGCAGGGCTGGGGTAGGGCCTACGTCCAGTTTGACGAGTCCGTGTCCTTCTACACCCGATACCCCTGTCGAGGTCTCCTGGTACCCCCTCCCCCTCTTTTCCTCGCACCTTCTCCTCCTCCTGCTCCCGCTCCTCCGGTACCCCGACCCCCCCCTGGTCCTGCCCTGTCTGGTGTGTCCCACGCTACCCCTCTCCCCTCGGTCGTGCGTCAGGTAGTGTCTCCCTCTCCGCAGTCCTCCTCACAGTCCCCTCAGCAGCCTTCGGCAATTCCGCGACACGTTACTGTGGACTCTGTTGGTGTTGGAGCTGGAGGTGCAGCCGCTGGGGGTGCTCGCTCGCGGGGTACTGGAGCTGGAGGTGCTGGCGCAGGTGGCGCTAGCTCTGGGGGTGCTGGAGCTGGGGGTGCTGGCGCAGGTGGCGCTAGTTCTGGGGGTGCTGGAGTTGGAGGTGCTGGCACTGGCGGAGCTAGTTCTGGGGGTGCTGAAGTTGGAGGTCCTGGCACTGGCGGTGCTGGTCCTGGGGGTGCTGAGTCTATGGAGGCTGGAGCTGGAAACCCTGGTTCTGCGGAGTCCACTCCGCCTCCCCACCGCCACGACATGCGTCTCCAGGCTGCCCGTCAGCGTCAGCGTGAGGAGCAGGAGCGGTTGGAGAGGGAGCGGCAGGAGCTGCGGGTGCTGGACCTTCTGGAGCAGCAGCAGCAGCCGCAGCCGCCGCCGCAGCTGCAGCAGCCGCAGCCGTCGCCGCAGCCGCAGTAGCGGCAGCCGCAGCCGCCCCCGCAGCTTCCTCTAGAGTGGCAGTTGTTCCCACCTGTGAGTGGCCTGCGGGCCCTTGGCCTTTCCTCCTCTCCTTCTGTCCGCTCCCCGTCTCCTCCTGTGTTTGTTCCTCCGTTGCCTCCTCCTGACGACCGTCCGGCGGTCTGGTCTTCTCCTCCTCCTCAGTCTCCTCCTCCTACTGTCCGTCGCGACTTGATCACCCGTTGTCCTCCGCGTGCTCGTCACTCGTCCCCTGTTACTGACCTCCACACTGCCCTCCTTTGTTCGTCTCGTCGTCGTTCTCCTTCTCATGTGTCCGTTCTCCCGTCTCCTCCTCCGTCCTCTATCACAGCCCCCCTCACTCCTATCTCTGACTACTACCGCACTGTTCGTCCTGTTGCCGCACGTGTCCTCGCCACTCTTGTCACCGACTCTCGTTTCCCTCCGTCGTCTGCCTCGGCTCTCACTGCCGCTGTCGCTGAGTTTGCTGCCGCCGGTCGCCTTGACTACGCCACCCGTGTGGTGCCAGCTCCTCCCTACCGTCCTCTGTCCGTCGGGGGTGGGTTTGCCCTTGGCTGTGACGCCCTAGAGGATAGAGAGTCTGAGCTCGAGTACTGGGCAGCCGCTTCTCCCTCTGTGTGTGCCATGCTGCTCTCCCCTGAGGGAGACCCCGACGCCCTTGACATACCGACTGCTCGCACTTATCGTGAGGCAGTGTCAGGGGCGTGGGCCTCTCAGTGGAAAGCGGCTATGGACTCAGAGTTGGCATCTTGGAGGTCCACAGGCTCCTACGTCGACGCAGTTCCCCCTCCCAGGGCGAACGTAGTTGGTGGCATGTGGCTCTTCAAGGTGAAGCGGCCGCCTGGAGCACTGCCGGTGTTCAAGGCGCGCTACGTGGCTAGGGGCTTCAGTCAGCGTGAGGGAGTTGACTTCTTCCAGACCTTCGCCCCGACCCCGAAGATGACTACTCTTCGGGTGTTACTCCACATAGCAGCGCAGCGAGACTATGAGCTGCACTCCCTCGACTTCTCCACTGCGTTCCTCCAGGGCCAACTGCACGAGGAGATCTGGCTGCGCCGTCCTCCTGGCTTCACTGACACCTTCCCACTTGGGACCCAGTGGAGCCTGAGGCGACCAGTCTACGGTCTCCGACAGTCACCCCGTGAGTGGCACGACACTCTTTGCTCCACGCTTCGTGACCTTGGGTTCAGCCCGTCCTCCGCCGACCCGTCGCTGTTTGTTCGAGCGGGTTCTACTCCTTTCTTTATCCTTGTCTACGTCGCTGACTTGGTGTTTGCTACAGCAGACACAACAGCCCTGGCTCAGGTGAAGTCCGAACTGCACAAGAGACACAAGTGCACTGACCTGGGTGAGCTGCAGCGTTACCTTGGCTTGCAGATCACCCGGGACAGAGCCGCTCGCACCATCACACTGACGCAGTCACACATGGTGCAGCAGGTCATTCGGCGGTTCGACTTCCAGTTCTCCACCACACAGCCCACTCCTCTTGCTTTTGACCACGGACTCACGGGCCCCTTTCCGAACAAGCCCTTTGAGTCCAGTGGACCCTACGCAGAGCTGGTGGGCTGCCTCATGTACCTGATGACTTGTACTCGACCAGACCTCGCCTTTCCCCCCAGCATCCTTTCTCGCTTTGTTGCGACTGGGAGACACCGCCCTGTCCATTGGACAGCTGCTGTGAGGGTGGCGAAGTACCTGGCGACTACATCAGGTATGGGGTTTGTGCTTGGAGGAACTCAGCCAGTGGTGTTGACTGGTCACTATGACTCTTCCTACGCTGACGACGTAGAGACTCAGCGCTCGACTCAGGGTTACTGCTTCAGTCTAGGAGCTGGTGTTGTGTCGTGGAGGTCTACACGGTCGTCGTCTGTGGCTACTTCCAGTGCAGAGGCAGAGATCTACGCGGGTGCCATGGCGGCACAGGAGCTTCGCTGGTTGACCTTCTTGCTCGCAGACCTTGGTGAGCGGCCTCTCTCTGCACCGACCTTGTACGCTGACAACAAGGCCATGATCCTCCTGTGTCGAGAGCCTCGACTGGAGAGCAGAGTGAAGCATATTGACGTGAGGTACTTCCTCCTGCGAGAGCTGCAGCGACGCTGTCAGGCACGCCTGGACTTTGTGGCCTTAGAGGCCAACACTGCAGATGTCTTCACCAAGGCCTTGGCTCTTGGTGACCACCACAGGTTCTGTATGCAGTTGGGGCTTGTTGAGGTAGGCCCTCGGTTGCTGTAGTCCTGCTGCTTGCTCTGCTCGTTGTGCTTTGTATTTATATCCTAGTGAACTCTTGAACTGGCCTTGTGGCCGCTTGCTTGCGCTCGGAATTTGTGTGGTGTCCTTGAGATCCACCCTGAGCTTGCCTTGGTTCTTGCTTTGACTGGTCTTGTGACCGTTTGTTCACCTTGCTTGCTTTGATGCCCCTCACTTAGCCTATGGGGGTGTGTCAAATGTTGCACATTGATGTGATAGGCTGTAGTGAGGTGCACTCTAGGGGGTACAGCTTCTAGGGTTGCTTATTTGTACCCCATTCGTTTCTATTCCAACCATTCCGTTGCGTTCACTATTTGAGAGGTATGCACGCTCAAACCAACGTTCGTACAACAGGGTACTTCCGTGTGAATGTCTCCACCCAATCATCGAGCGTCTTGAGCTGCTTCTCGGTCAACACCTCCAGCAACACGCCGACGTCATCCATGGTCATGGTCGCGAGCGACCGGCTCGCATCCTTGCCTACGAATATCGAGTACGGACCATCGGGGACCGTAGAACGAGCTCGCTGACGTGACGTCGTATATCACGTGCTTCAGCGACACGAGAATGGGCTTGGAGTCGGAGCCATTATACTCGGCTAGCATGTCAGCGGTGATCCCGCCAAGCTGAAATGTCGACTGGGGACTGGCGTCGGCCATGGCTCGTTGCACGGTGAGAACACACGTAAAATCAACGAGGGTAGTCGCTCCTGGAGATGGAAGGAGAACGACGACAGGCAATGACGGTGTGTGACGTGACGAGAAGTCACGGACCAGAGTACGGTAATTACCGGAAAGCTGGATCTTGGTTGAACGATATGGAAGTATCGAACGCGGATTTGCTGGTGCCATGGATTTTGTCTTGGAAGAAAACGAATGCAGTGGTGGGATGATTGGTTGATGGCCCGGCTCCAGCTGCTTCAAAGAACAGGTTTAGAATGTTTCAGAAATTCAGAGTTATAACGGAGTTTTGAAGAAGTTATATCCATAATTTGTTCCAACACAATAAAGAACAAAGGTAACCTGTCAATTTCAATCCACGGTACATTCATAAGAGCGAGCTGAAAATGGCGCCTCTTGGCGAAACGGGGAAAATTCGCCTGTTACAGCTAATTGTGGTGCCTTATTCAGCTAATCTCTTCACATGAGACCGTGCCATCCTGATTACGGTGCCTAATTCAACTAATTGCGGTCCACTCTCACTTGCAAAATGAGATGAACTGGACCGCCAAGGATGTTCTGAAGCTGATACCGTGCCTCTCTGCCAATGGAACTGAATCACCAACACAACAGGAAAGAGCAGCAGATCAAACGCACACACAAAAATGCAGCACAAGGCAAGATAGACGGACAAGCTACACCAACGAAGCTGAAATCTCACATACAACGATAGCATGAATGAACACACCACATCATGCCTACACCACACCTCACAAGAGTGGGACTTACCGCACGTCCTGACCTGCCTTGCCAACGAGCATGGCCCTCTGTGCATTAGACTGCACAAGCAGCAGCTTAGCTGCTCTATGCGCAGACCCGTCCCTGAGCACAGAGCACGACCACACCATAACACAGCAGGACTCACCGCACGACCTGTCCTGCCTTGCCAACGAGCATGGCTCTCTGTGCATTGGACTGCACGAGCAGCAGCTGCTCTATGCGCAGCGACCCATCCCTGAGCACAGAGCACGACTCGTGGCGGTGCTCTATGGCGTATGGCACCTCCTGTGGGGATGAGAGAGGGAGGGAAGAAGGAGGAAGAGAGAGAGAGAGAGGGAGAGAGAGAGAGAGAGAGAGAGAGAGAGAGAGAGAGAGAGAGAGAGAGAGAGAGAGAGAGAGAGAGAGGAGAGCATGGAGAGCAAGGGTAGATAAGGAGTGCTTGGGGACGTCTCAGGCGATGAGATGCCTCACACACACCCCACTGTGTGTAACGAGCGAGCAAGCAAGCAAGCCACCCACCTGGTGCATGTGGTGCAGCAGCAGTTCCCTCACGATCTGCATGGCCAGCTGTGCATACACCCACCTCACATACGCTCCACAGCCTGTAATGAGCAAGCGAGTGAGCAAGCAAGCCACGCACAGCCCAGCCCACCTGGTGCATGCGGTGCAGCAGCAGCTCGCGCACGATCTGCATGGCCAGCTGCTCAGGCGACTGGTCCGTGCACAGACGAGGGTCCTCCTCCCATGCCGCCTGCACCGCCTGGTGTGTGTGTGACAGGAGGATGGGTATTGACCGGGGTGTGTGGGAGGGAGGGAGAGAGAAAGCGAGATGGCACATATTGGAACAACATGACGGATGCAAGATGGAAGGGGGCGTGACTTAACGTGGTGCCACTTTTGAGAAGTCTCAAAAACAGGAGGGGATGTTTTTGCACGTAACACGAGTAGACATCGGGTGAAAACGAGAAAACAACAACGAGAGGTGGAAGGGAGAGTGGACAATTAGCCTCATGGCATAAGCTCCAACCCAAGGCATGGCCCGACTTTATGGCATAGTAGCATGGCATGTGAGAGGTGAGGGCAGGGCATGCTTTTTGAGAATTCTTGAGAAGCACGCACATGGTCAAAGAGATACTCCTCCAGCAGGTTCACGCCCTTGTCCTGCAGCGCTGATACCATGAACACCCTGCACGCAGGGGCGGGGTGGGGTGGGGTGGGGTGGGGTGGGGTGGGGTGGGGTGGGGTGACGATGGGTGAGGGCATGGACGGCAGTATGGGGCTGAGAGTACCCAGGGCGTAAGCATGGTGAAGGCAGTGCTAGAATCTACCAGAATCGAATACAGGGTGGTTCAGCACTGCTATGCACTCAGCCTGGACCGTCAACCTTGGACCCTCATACATCTCAAACGGCCACTCCTACACCACCCTCAACCCCCCATTCCCCCACTCCACCACCTCCCCCCATGCACCCAGCTCCCCCACCCCACCCAATCCCCTCCCACCTCTCCCCTCCACTCCCCCCACCTCTCAATGGAGTGGAAGGAGCTGAGCTCCTGTGCGAGCGGTAGCAGCAGGCGCTTGTCCTTCACCAGATCCACCTTGTTCAGCACCGCTACGCGCTGCTGCCCCTCCCTCCGCTCCGCCCCCACCACCCCCACCATCCTCCGCACCCGCGGGTCCGGCCTGCAGGGGTGGAGTGCGGTGGGAAGGGATGGGGTTGTATGAGATGGGTTTGTGAGATGGAGTGAATTAGTGGGATGATTGGTTTGGATTGAGATGGGGTGGAGAGAGAGAGGGAACATTCTGGGATAAGATGGTACCCTCTCTTTTCCAGGAGCAGGTGGGGGAAGTCTTGGTCCTGGACGAGAGGGAAGGACTGTGAGTGAGGAACAAGGGGAGAACAAGAGCAACCGAGACAGGGGGATGACAGACAAACAAAGCCCCACGGCCAATGCTTCAGCTACAGCCCTTCTCACCACACCCTACCACCACAAGCACCCTCGTACCTCCGGATCTGCCGGTCGGCATCAATGACGAGCGCCACCACATGGCAATGCAAGGCAGCGGACGAGGCGAGCAGCGACCCCTGGCGCTGCGACGCTGACAGTGGCTGCGATGGTAGCGCCACTATCAGCCCTGGCGTATCGTGAAACACCTAGAGGTCAGGAAGAAGGGGAAAGGGAGGGGGTTAGCGGGGGAAGGAAGGGAGGAGGCTGAAGAGGAGGGACCCCTAAGTGGGTTGCGCTCACCAGTTTTTCACCGTCAGGCGCATCAACCGTCAAAGCTCACCAGCTGTGTGGGGCGTGCGCTCTGCTCACCAACAGTGTTAAGGCGTGTGAAAACTCGAAGCTCACCAGCTGCGTGGGCCCGATGGTGCGGATGCCCACCACCTCCCTTTGCGTTGTGTTGGTCTTGCGCGATACCGCTGATACCTTCACGCCCACCTGCACGCACGGCAAACAGGTGAGGAGAAGGCAGGGCGGGGAGGGGAAAGGAGGTGAGTGAAAGGAGGGGAAAGGAGGGAGGCAGATGTGACAGAAGAGGGAGTGGGAAGAGGGGGACAAGTGGATGAGAGGGAGATCCCAAATGTGAAGGAAGGAACCGGTGAGGGGTTGAGACAGCAAAGAAGGAGTGCAATGTAGCGTGCCAAAACTCGCAACTAACTAAACCCCGCATCTGCTCTTTCTTACCCCCCTCCCCAACCTTACTCCAGTTAAACGCTTCCCCTATCGCTTCTGCTCTTCCGGCCTTCCAATCAAAGTCCCTCACCCATTCCCCCCACTTCCACCCTCTCTCACTCTTTCCTCTTGCTCACCCTCCCTCCTCACCCCTTCCCTCCCACTCTAACCCCTCTCTCTCTATCTCTCTCTCTCTCTCTCTCTCTCTCTCTCTCTCTCTCTCTCTCTCTCTCTCTCTCTCTCTCTCTCTCTCTCTCTCATTTCCCCCCACCAGTCTGTTCATCAGGGCGGACTTCCCTGCGTTGGGCGCGCCCACCAGCGCCACGCGCGCAAACCGCTGCTTCTCCACCGCCACCTGCCCCTCCGCCTCCGCCTGTCCCCCGCCCGCCTCCCCCAACCAGTCCCCTAAACCCCTGAACCCCGGCCGCCACCCCCTCTCGCGGAAACTCCTCCGCCACTCCTCTTCCTCCTCGCCGTCTCCCCCCACCTCCCCGCGCCCTTCCCCGCGCCTCTCCTTCCCTCTCCTCCCGCGTTCCCTCACTCCCCCATCCTCTCCTCCAGCGTTCCCGCTCTCCCCCACGTCGTCCCCCGCCCAGTGCTGTTTCCCGCGGCTCATCCCCGCGAAGAACCGCCCGCTGAGAATCGCGTCCGCGATCTGCTTTGCGTTGCGCAGATCCTCCTCCGACGCCACGCCGTACCCGCTCATGTCGTCACCGTCGTCCTCGTTATTGGCCTCCGCGTTACTAACGCCCTCCGCGGTAATTACAGCCTCATTGGTACGACTACCCTGCTCGGTGTTGCCAAGGCTTTCCTCTCTTGATCGTCCTTCTTCCGCCGTCCCTCCCCCTACCGCCGCCTCGCCGCCTGCCTCCTCCCGCACCCGAATCGATCGCTGTCTCGTCTGCATTTCCTGCTTCTCCCCGTCCGCTAAATCCACCCATCCCCGCGCCTCAACATTCCGATCCTCTTCTTGAACCTCATCCCAAACCCTTCCCCGTCCCTCCTCCCTTGCATCATTGAAATTCCCTCTTCTTTCCGCCTCCTCCCCCTCTGCTTCCGTCGCGCCATAGCTCACACGCAAATCCCCCACACTCTCCTCCCCGCCAGCCGCTCTCTCGCCCGACGGTCCAGATCTCTCCCCGGCAACCGGCGGCTCCGATCCAACGGCCGCGACGGCTCGAGAAGAGTGAAGAAGCCGGGAAAGCAGAGCAGACGAAGCGGAGAGCCCGCATCCATGAACAAGCAGCGTGCAACTGTTGTGGTAATGATGATGACAGATCCTAGGAGACACAGGCTGCGGTGACGAACGAGTGGCGACTAATCGGATTAGTGCGGGGTTACGGTGACAACATAAATCGCAGGGATGGTTACGGTGAGACGCGCTGAGGAACGATGAAGGTGGGGGAGGATGAAACGCGCTGGAATGACGGCGCGGAGGCGTATCTGCGAAAATGTTAGGGCGCGATGAATCGGTGGCGTGCGACGATGCGAGAGGTGCAGCTAGCGAAGGTGAGAAGTGTTCGCGAAGAGATGCAAGGCGGAGTCTTCCGCTGCGAGCAACGGTTATTGCACGACGATGGCTTGCCATCTATAGAAGGGACAGAGGAGTTTGCACGGGAGGAGGAGAGGGGGAGGGAGGTGCAGGGAAAAGGAGAAAGGTAAAAAGAACAGAGGGAGAGGGGGCGTGGTCAGCACACGAACAAGACCAATTACACGGGATTGAGGAAAGAGGCAGTGATGGGAGAAAGTGAGCAGACATGGAACAGAGAAAGAGGGAGACTTGATGACAAACGTGGAAACAGGGGCTGTTGAAAAGGGGCACTGCAGATATTGCAGCAAGGCAGGAACAAATGCAGTCGATGAAGGGTGGTGAGCTGGAGAGTGCATAGGGTGTTCACGTAGAAGCGCTTCGCGGAATCCAGGCCAAACATAGGAGGAGAAAGCAGAGACAGGCAGAGATTCGCTAAAAGACTCAAGAAGAAGCACAACAACAAACGAAACGCGATAGGAACCAGAGAAGGCGGACCAGGTTGGAGGGGTACATAGAGGGGGCTGATACGCAGGGGGGGTAGCATCAATCAAACGGAGTGAGCTGAATGGGCCGAGCAGCAAGACGGTGCTAGATACAATGGTGGTGAGAGAAGGTGGTTTCGGACAAGACAATCGTAGGGTGAGAGAAAGAAGACAGCTGATTTTGAAGTATTTCGAGTTTTGATTGTAACAGATGCAAGTGCGGGGGGCTGCCGGGCCAACCCCATCTCAGCAAGCTAGCTGTTGGTGGTTGGCTTGAGAGACGACGGGGCTGGTCGGAAACCAGTGCACCATTTACCCAAATCAGATTTCGCCCCTTTTTACCTGATAATTCCTCATTCTCCTCTCAGGCTATGTCAGTCACAGGATAGGTAAGTCAAACCCTTACTCAGTGAGAGAGAGCTTAGGTATGTGACAGCATTGTGAATGTGCCAAGGAGAAGAGAAAGCAGCACGGGAAGGGCCAAGCAGGCCAACAATGCGTCGAGGGGCGACGATGTGCCTTGGCGTTGTTCTAGATTCGTAAGGCCATCCACTAACAAAGTTACATATTGGGGCTATGATACATGTATGAGCACCACCGTAGCCTTGCAGAGGAAGAGAGAGACTGGGAAGACAGTGGAGAAGCTGATGTATTCACTAGTCCAAATACTTACCTTTATTTAGGTTTTTTTTTAACTGTCGTGTTTTCGTGGTGGCGTGGAGTGAAATGAAACAGCAGCTGCAGCGTGGAGTCGGTCAATCCGATGGCGGGGCTTGGCGATTCTGAAAGTGGTGCGAGGGAAGGGAGGCAGGGAGACGAGTGGGACAGGGCAAGTACTCAACGCGAGTAATACTCGCTGCACATTTGTAGTAGGGTAACTTGTGTAGCAAGGCAAAAAAAAACGCCAGTCAGGTTGAAGCTGCAGCTAAGATGCAACGAGGATAGATGATGAAACAAGGGGTGGAAAAATGCGAACGGATGACGTCGGGTGGAGCCTGCATGAATTGGTGAACAGGCGAGTATTGTGAGGCGAGAGAGCAGAGCAGGGTGATGGAAGAGGATGACGGAGATGCAAGCTGAGTGAGGTCAGGTGAGGAGTGGAGGAAGATATGCACATCCCACTCCCACAATGGCCACCAAAATAGCCGATCTGCGCGAGTTTTCGGAAATAAACCACCGATCCGCGCGGATCGACGGTCGGAATGCGCCAATCTGCGCAGATTGACGGTCAACATTGCCAATCCGCGGAAAGCGGTGGGCTAAATTGCCGATTCCCACGGATGTAACGGCGGGGATTTAAACGAGGACATAGAAAAGGCAGGGATGTGTGATGGCGAAACTTGCAACAACTGCGAGGCCGCATAGTCACTGTGTCTTGGCAATGCAGCCTGACTGTGTACGCGAATAACGTTATTTTGCCCCAATAAGAGCATGAATGGTCACACAATCATTGTTTCTCAGCCTTTATGAATGATTAGTTAAAATCATCAGGTAAGGAGAAGCATGATAGAATGCGGGTAGGGATGGTGCGCGAGCCGAAATGAATGGAGTGACGGGACGGGACCGGCGTTACCTCAGGCCTGTTGTTAGGGTTTCGAAGATAGTAGAAGCGACGTGCTGAGAGACTCGCGCACACAGTTGGATCTGAGCTCCGCAATAGGCGCCGGCACGCAACGATATAATAACCGCAGTTGTCATCTCACTCGAGAAAAGGGCTTGAGGTTCTAGAAGCTAGGGCAGAGGTGAAACGAGCAAGATATCGTGAGGAAAGTGCAGAGGAATACTAGTGGTGCTCAGCGCTTCTGTGAAGCGAAGGTGGTTTTGAGCAGAAGAGCGTGTTCAGTACTCCATCAGAATGTCACCATTCGCACTCTTGCTCGTTGGGGTCATTCTGGGTTACCATACCCACCTCGTTCATTTTGTTGTACGAAACATCCGGGTGCCCATAAAGGCAGTAACCTGGATTTTGCACATCTCGTCATAAAAAACGATATATGGCGCTTCTGCAACAGTGTGGTAACTGCGACTGCCTTTGTGGAGTCTTGAAAGCAATGCAGTCTCTGGACGGGGTGCTAATACATAAAAAACACCTGCTCGATAACCAATATTACCGACGGAGCTACCTATGTCCTCCACAAAATCATTCCCGATTTAGTACCTAGCCCTTATTCGCCAACAGCTAGATGTGCGCCACCAAGCATGGGTGTCGCTGTCCACGTATAGTGCCGTCTCCCACAATCGCGCTTCAGCTGTAAACGGCGATGCCGCCACACGCTCCCAGAACTCGCCGTTTAGTTATTGGCCGCCATGCGCGAGCGAGGTCGGGATGCAGGCGATCGACGGGTGAGGCGAGCTGAAGTCGGAGGGAGCGAAGAGAGGTCGATGGGGCCGTGCGAGATCGGGATGCAGGCAATACGTGTCGCAACACCATTGGAAAGCCGTTTGCTCATGATCTAGTCGATGCGTGTATGTGTTTTGCCCTAGTGGCGGATTGAGCAACGGGATTGCGCGTCATCAGAGCATGACCTCCGGCGGTCGAATTGAGTGAAACGAAGGGTGAATGTCTGAACGGGGAAGCCTCTCTGCGATAGCGTGCTGATGGGATGCCATTCGCGAATGGATGACTACATGCTCGAGTCCACGTGTCCATGCACGGATCTTCATGTGGCAGTCCGCAGCAAAGGATGGCGTAGCGTGCCGTAGTATGCGTTGCTGTTTCTATTTGGGTGCAAGTTGCACGTTACGGAACGCGGGGATTTAGAATAGATCCGTGTTCTATTTGGCACTCCTCCAAGAGTCCTCGTTGGGCCAATATCAAATTTTGGATCTCACCGCTCTTCGGGAAGGCATTTTTTGCGCAGAGGGCGGCTCTTGAGCGATGTGCAGCAGGGCGATGGTGGTGGCAATGCGGAGGCAAGAGGAGGCGAGTGGGATGTGATGGCACCGTCGCCATCATGCCCCGCCGTAGTGGTGAGGAATGTGAGTCAAACAACAGGCAGTCGCAGGCAGCTTTGACGACTGCAGTAGGCTTCCCTCGGTCCCATCTCTCGTCGTCCCTTTGCGCCTCCGCCTATCCACGCCCTGCTGCGCCTATCCGTCCTGCTGCATTGCTGCCTGCTGCTGAACATGCTCCCTCCCTTTGCGCCTCCGCCTATCCGCGGCCTATTTCTGGCGCTAGTTGTTGTTGTCAAGCCAAAAAGTGAGCGTTCTTTCCCCATGCGCAATGCCATCAGCTGTCGTCCAAAACTGCCCCCCGTTTTCCCCCCCACCCACCACCCTCACTCCCCCTCCCAAAGGGTCCCTCGCAGCACGAATGCAGTGGTGGATCTAACTGCTTTATTCGCCGTCGGTGATGGCACTGCTACGGTGTGGCAGTGGCTGGCAGTACTGGTTGGAATGCGTGCGGCGTCGCAGCTGACGGCAGCAGGGCGATGGTGGTGGCAACACAGAGGTGAGACAAGCCAAGCGGATAGAAGCCAGCTGTCTTCCACCTCCACCTCCTCGCTCTGCAGATTGCTGCAACCTACTTCTCCCTCTTTCCCCCACTCCTTTCCCCTTCCCACACCAACAGCACCGTGCCTTAGTTAGCTGTCCACTGCATGCTGGTTAGGCAAGGCGTTAGGCCTGTGATACCATTGTCCCTCTCATCCCGCATTCCCTGTTTCCCCACCTTCTCGTTCCGGCTGACATTCAATATCGCAGAGATCAAGAGACAGAAACGAGTCTTTCATTTTGCAAGGCAAATGAACCTAGGTGGATTTGACGAGGAGCGTGACATGACATGACAGTGAATTTACGTGCCACTGCAATTTCAGAAGTTGCTGGCTCGCGCTGTCTCTTTGGGCAGACACACCAATGCATCGTGGAAGCAGGTGGAATCTATGTGGGCGTCTTCTCAATTGACCACCTCTGATGGCCTCTAGAGTGATGGCAGGAGGGCGCAAGGGGTAAGAGAAGCTGAACTGGATGTAAATTCACCATCACTCAGCACCACCCAAATAGTGGATGAATCTTTATTGCCGCTGATCTTAGTCCTGCCGCGCTCCTACCTACCTCACTTCTCCATCCGCTGCTGGCTGATGGGTCTGCATTCCTCCCTTTGCATCGCAGCCTATCCGCATCCAGTGTGGCACCTCTGGCGCTGGTTCGCTGACAAGGCAGAATATGTGTGAGTACTGATTTTCTGTGTGTCATCAGCTGTTTTACATCTCCGTTCTCCTTGTTCTTCAAATGCCCCTACCTTCTGCGCTCTCTCCTCCCCCCACAGCTCCCGCCCCACACCAGCAGCACAGCACCTGCCCTGCAATAGCCATGGGTCGCTCAACCCATGGCTGCAGCACACAGCCTGACACACAGCTACGGGCCAAGCAGTAGCAGCAGTGGTGGCGGCGAGAAAAGCCAGTCGCAGGGAGGGGAGTGGGTGGAGGGAGGTGAGGAGTCGTGGCGAGGACAAGCGAGACAGCCGATGCCGTTTGTTGATTTGACAACATGGGCGTTAGCTCATGCTGGTCGCGTGGCACTTTTGCGTGTAAGGTCCACATCACATCACACATGAAGAGGTGCAAACGTTGCACCTGAGGGCACATACATGCCATGTCTGAAGGTTTGTGTATCCCTATGCTGCTCCATTTGTAGAAAGAGTCACCCACCCAGCTAGTGTGGGCTGACGAGTAAAAACATACGGTACCGTATTCTCCCGGACATAACACCCTAGGGTATAGCTAAAAATACAGGGAAAAAATGGGGGGGGTCTCCTCATAGGAAAAAAATGCATACCGTCACCCCCCGGATATAAGCGCCACCCTAGGATAAGCGCCTGGCGCTTCTAATTGGCATATGGCGCTTATATCCCCTCCTCGATTATAAGCGCACCCCCTGAAAAAACTAGTTTTATTATAAGCGCACGTAAACTTTAAAATTTGAAATGTGTACAAAACGTTGTAATGATTTTTACTTTAGCAGGCAGATATGTTGCAGATTCGGTTCCCTTCACATTCGGACCCTGCACTGGATGCGGGTCCAGTCAGCAGGAGCTGTCAGGAGCTGGATGTGAGTCAGATTGGGTGTGTCTCCCAGCGCGCGCGAGAATTTCACAGACGACCCCATGTAAATTCGACTCGATTGAAAGGGCAAGCACGAGACCTACAGTTTGGTGTTAAAAAATATAAAAAATATGAATGTCATTTTATAAACGCCGGCGCTTATAAATTTACTCGATTATAAGCCCACCCCCTTGAAAAAACCTGTTTTATTATTGCCCCCCATGGGGGTATATCCGGGGGGTGACGGTAATACCCGGGTCCTTACATATGGCATATTTTAGTGTTGGTGTTTTTTTAATTAGTCAATGTGGGTGTTTTGCTGGTCCTTTTAGCATCACTGCCTGAGGCGCGAATGTGAGTTTCGGCCTCGAACTTCATCGCCCTCACGAAAATGCCATGTGGCACCTCTCTTGCCACTTGCAACGGAAGATTCACCTGCACGTGGCAACAGAGAAATAGTGGGAGGGGGCAAATCTCGGCAGATTGCCTTTGGATGTACCGCGAAATTTCCTTGAGGGAGATATTCACACGATATTCTTCCGTATTGTAGCTACTCGTTAACGATTATAATAATGAATATGTAAGAAAAGGGGGGTGTTGTAGAAAATCAGCCAAAAAGGGGGGTATAGTAGAAACGAGGTCTATCATAACACCCACCCCGCACAAGCTACCCGGGGGTGTACAATTATGGGGGGGTGTTTTGTCCGGGAGTATACGGTATTTGAAGCCTAGTTTGGAATTAAAAAACTGGGCTAGATAAGGGATCATTACATGCCATGCTGTATTTGAAGGTGTGGTTTTGCCTGTGCTGCTCTATCTACAGGAAAAGCCACCCAGATACCGTGGTTTAATCTGATTTGATGAGTACAATTTGTCGAGCCTCAAACCAGGCCATATGATATCAGGGGTAAGGGGAGGAGAAGGCCTAAGGACGCAGCATTAAGGAAAGGGGCCGAGTTGGGAAGAACGGCCACGAGGAGAGAGATTCCGACAGCTGTCATGCTTTTAATTGCAGAACAGAACATACCGTAATCTCCCGGATAGTAGACCCTAGGGTCTTGTGTAAAATTCATAAAAAAATAGGGGGGGGTCTTGTCAACGGCACAAGATTGTTTAGTATCCGGGTCTTATTAAATTGATATGATTTTTAAAGGTGTAATCGAGTGCCTCATTGATGAGGATGCTTGACATTTTTTCCCCTGTTGTTTGGGCCGCACATGTGTGCGACTTCTGCGATGTAGCCATATCACACAGGGGAATCAGCTTGTGGGCTTCTCATTGGCCGAAATCGCACGTTACCACATTCCAGCATTGAGATTCGCTTTGTGGCTCGTCAGCGTGCCATCCCACCTCGACACCCTGACACATGCACGGCTCGAGCGCAGGGGCTGCACGATGGCCTGTGCAGCAACCCCTACTGTTCAACGGGAGGCACGTCAATCCTTTCACCCATCACAATCCTTCTCCTCCGCCTGTTTCTTCATCCACGCACGAAACTGATTTCTGCTCGGCAGAGTGGTGCGCTTAGGGCCCGTAGCTCTAGGATGGTCGTCTTAAGATGGCTGGAGGAAGTACTTCGAGCAGTAGCTAGAGGTGTAAGCTATCATTCACGATGGTGACGTCTCCAGATTCAGGGATGTCACACGCAAGGCGCCCTCGTCCCACTAACGTTAATCGAGCATCGCAATTACGAGTTTCACCCCGGCCCGTTTTGCCAACAACTTCACCTTCCTCCAGCGACCCTAGCGACAGTTCCCATGGCATTCGCCGACCGCCGCTTCCTAGAGTCGTGATCCCTACCTTTCCGGAGTCTAGTCGCCCGCAAGGCATGAAACGAAGGATTCTAGATGCTGCGCCTCCTTCCCCTCGTCATAGGATGACGAAACGCTCTCGTAACGCGTTCACTGCCAAGGAGAAATTGCACTGGCTGGCCATGTTGGAGTCACAGCCTGACCTCAGCATCCGTGGCTTGGCGAAGCTCGCCAAGGTGCAGCCCAAGCAAATCCGCGAGTGGAGGCGACTCAAGGAGCGTCTCGAGGTCGCCGCTGGTTGTCGCTGACGTCTTAACGGTGGAGGGCGTAGGGCGAAGTGGCCCCTGATGGAGAAAGCGGTTTACCGCCAATTCTTGGCGCACCGTGCCAAAGGATTGGCGGTGTCGGTGAGCCTTCTCCGCAAATGGGCAACTCAGTACATGAAGCACCGTCAGCCTACCGCCGATTTTCGCGCATCGGCACGTTGGACCTTTCGCTACCGCGTGCGGTGGTCATTAGCGCAACGCGTGAAGACAAAGATGGGGCAAAAACTAGCCGCCGGTGAGCAAGTTGCATGTCACCCCCCCTTGCCGTAACGGTTTACGTAAAATGCTATCTAACACATGTGTCGTTGTGTGTTTAACAGATTGCAAGGGAAAGGTGGAGTCCTTCTGGGAATTCGTCCGCCAGATGCGCATGGTTCATCGCTTTCCCCTCAACCTCATCGTGAACGCTGACCAGACCCCGCTCTGGTTGGAGATGCCGGCAGAACGCACCCTCGAAATGAAAGGCGCCCGCACGGTGCATGTCAGGACGGCGGGGTACGAGAAGGAGCGTGTCACTGTCATGTTGGCAGTGACGGCTGACGGCCTGAAGCTTCCCCCGTATGTCATCTTCAAGCGGAAGACGGTGCCACGAATCGTGGTGCCACCAGGTGAGCCCGATGTGTTTCTGTCGTTGATTCCTTCTGTTCCTCTTGTTTCTCCATTACTGATTTCCAGTTGTGGCGTGTGCAGGTATCGTCATCTGCGCCCAAGAGAAGGGTTGGATGGACGAGCGCCTTGTCCAGGATTGGACAACACAGGTGCTCGTCCCCTTCTTGAAGCCGTTGCGGGACGAGGGCGGGCGGCGCAAGCAAGCGCTCCTTGTCTTCGACTCGTACAAGGGGCACCTGACGGAATCTGTGGGGCAAACTCTGAAGATGTTTAAGGTGACGCGTGACGTCATCCCTGGCGGTTGCACCCCCCTGGTGCAACCGCTTGACGTCTCCATCAACCGCAGTTTCAAGTGCGGTGTTCGCCACCGCTACATCACGTGGTTTTAGGAGGTCGGGATCGGCCAAACAACACGTGTAGGTGAGTCGTGGTCGATTTGTGAGCTTTAAGATGACTAGTCAGCATTAACTCCACTGCCTTTACATCTCTGCTGTGCATTCTTCTTGTGAACTCCAGGGAACTTGAAGAAGCCCCCCCCTGAAGTGATCCTGAAGTGGATCGTCGAGTCATGGGCTGATGTGCCAGAGGAGCTGGTGAAGAAAGCTTTCCTCACCTGCGGCATCTCCAGTGCCGAAGACGGGAGCGAGGATCATCTGATCCTGGCTCACCTGCGGGACAAGGCGGAAGTGGAGGTGCTGGAGGATGTGCTGGACGAGGGGGAGGACGGGGTGAACCCCAACCCGTTCTACGAAGACCCCTCGCACGCCCCTGAGCCCGCCGCTACCAAGGACGATGAGGCAGAGGACGAGGAGGAAGGGCTTGCAGGGGAGGAGGATGTGGTGGATGCTGTTGCCGAGGAAGGGGATGTGATGGCTCCGGAGGAGGAGGGGGATGAGGCAGATGCAGAGATGGGAGGTGCGGACGAGTGGAGTGAGGATGGAGACGACTGGTGGGCAGCAGGCCGCTATGAGGGAGAGGAAGTGGAGGAGTGGGTTGCAGGCGAGGATGAGTGACTATTTTTATGTTGTTCTCACCCCTTGTTGCCCCCTAAATCTCTGAAATGCAAACCGTGAATAGGTTGCATTGGTGTCAAGCTTTTCTTGCTAGTGAAGCAATTGAAAAGACATCTTATTTCCATTATAAACTAGTGACAACCATGAAGGGGGTCTAGTAATGTTTACCCCTCTAGGGGGGGGTATAGTGAAAACCTGCCAAAATAAAAGACCCACCCCCGTAATACAGACCCGGGGGTCTTGTATTCCGGGGGGTCTATTATCCGGGAGCTTACGGTAGGAAGTAACAATATAAAAGCAAGACAAAGTACAGTAGTTAGTAGTGTTATGTAGCTGCAGGCGGGAATCTACCGTCATACCCCGGATATACCCCCATGGGGGGCACTAATAAAACGTGTTTTTTTTAGGGGGTGGGCTTATAATATAGTAATTTTATAAGCGCCGGGGCTTATACAATGACATTATGAAATCTAGCGGTTTTCACTTCAAAATGTTGATCTTGTCATTGCGATTTCAATCAAGTCAAGATCATAGTGGGTGTGAAGAAGAATCTCGCGTAAGTTTGCAAACTGCCAACACACACAGTCAGAATGAGTCATTTCGCCCCA